GCGACTGAGTCTTCCTTGCCTTATTCCCCCATCTTGTTCTTTCCAATGTAGGGTAAAGAAATGGAACCTCTATCTCACCTCTGAACCTACCCCACTTGAACACCATCCCTTGCCAATCAAGCGTGATCCGAACTTCCAACCCCTTTTCTGGCCGATAGGGATGAAGAAGATCATTTACCCTTTAGTGAGGGAAGTGTAAGCCTCTTTTTCTTCCACAAAACCATCCTGGTCTTGATCCCACTTCACCAAACAAGTCTGAACTAATTGAATACTAAATAAGGACCGTCCAATTTATCAAGGTAACATCAAAGTGACGTAGAACTCAAAATCCAAAGTTTTTTTTAGTAAAAATAGCCATCTAGTTATTATTAGGTAGATTTCATAATTTCAGATATAAAAAAAATCCTAAATAGCTATTTTGCCTAAGGGAGTTAATGCACATTATGCTCTAGCTGGAGCATATGTTATGTACACTCATGAGGACATTACATCCCCACTTAGTCTCGATAATCATCCAACTAATTGAATAGGGTGTGACAAGGTCGTGATTGTTAAAATGCACACAATTATTAAAGTGCACTGTTCCTTACTTAAACTATAGATGAGGGTACTCACCCAAAAACTATAGATGAGGGAATGCAAATTGCTTCAATCATATTGTCACACATTAGTCTCTAAGTGTCTAATCTTAATCTGCTGGCTCATAGTATTTAATGTTTCATCTTTTTTTATTAATCCTTTGGTGCTGAAAATTGGCTTGTTCCCTCCTCTAACTGGGCACCATTGAAAAAAAAAGAAAAAAAAAAAAGCAAATCACCCTGTAAGGTATTTTTGCCGCTTTGTTTTTATTAGAAATAGCTTGTTGTGCAAAGATTGGTTACGTCCTAAAATTACATGTTCATTTGCGGAAGCAAAATTGAAAAGAAAACCCTATAGACATGACATTCTTATTGAAATCATCCGAGCGGCGAAACTAAGAATTGGAGTCACGTGTTTTATATAGAGGCAATACCACATGCAAAGATTCCCTGGTAAATAATTAAAGGGTGCAGTTTTTACAAGGTTGCAACTTTAAACAATCCAAATAAGGTGCACCTTCAAATTTTGTCATAATATGTAATTTTGTTGTAAAAACTTCTTAGGATTATCTTAAAATCTATTTTCATATCTAATTAGAAAATTCTAAACTTCAAAAAAAGTTAAAATCAAGTAGATCTATAAACATATGAAAGTCTTGAAAATGGATAGTCTCGATAATGTGTTGCAATATGCACTATTCTGATACTAAAAATAATAATAATCTATATTCTTATATCTCGATGTCGAGAAGATCAATTATTGGGATTTTCAACGCTAAAACAACCCTTTCGATAAATTTTTGAGGTGCATATGTAATTCTACATTTTAAGTTTGCAACCTTATAAAAACTTTTGCCATAATTAAATGCAGCTACCCAAAATATAAATGAGATAAATGATCTCATTGTGTACTTTTTCGTATCTAATGGGAAAATCGCCTTTACTCATAGGTAAATCATCTCTTTGTGTATTTTTTTGTATCTAAAGGAAAATGTTTCTATACTTCCCCTGTAGCATAGAAGATATATAATCCCTCTTCACCCCATCCAATTTAGATCAAGAGCCAGTAATGGTTTGATCTAGATCCAACGCCTCAGAGTATTTTATTTTATTTTTTACTACAAATTATATAAATATGAAATTTGGCACGTGTCATTTTCCAATGAAATGCACCTAAAAAATATTTAAAAAAAAATTTAAATAAAATATAATGACCAAATACCTCATGAAACTTACGAAAGTATTTTGACTATTTTATTTTATTGATAATATAAACACCCAAATTTTCATTTCAAACTATCAAATTATTAAATTATTTGTCTATATTAAATTATAAGAGATTTTAAGTGATGACAAAAAAGGATTCAGTGCATGTGATCATGTTTAAAAAATGGAATCGCGATCACGGATGACGTGGAGGCTTACTTCTTAATTATAGATGCGGATTCCAATAAATGCCCTTCCTGCCGCATAACAAAACAACGAAGGGTAGTATACTCTATCTTCTCCATCATATATATTTTTTTTGGGAAAATATCTTATTATTTTTTATTTTTAAATTTTATATCTCACCGGATTTAAAAATTAAAAATATTATTTATAAGCAAAATGACTCCATTTTTTCTATCTTCCAACCCTCTAAATCCTTTTGATCATATATTATTGACTTCAACAACTTATGAAATGACTCTTTCTTTCTCTCTCTCTAAAACTCTATCTCTCTCTTACAACATCGTCTCTCTATCTCAAAACTCTATCTCTCTCTAAAACCATTTTCGGATGTCGAACATCCGAAACCATTTTCGAATGTTCAACATCTGAAAATATTACTGCGAAATTCTAAAAGGTTTCAGGCTATTTTTGGACAACCGAAAATGAGAATGTGAGCGTTAAACTTTCGGGCTATTTTCCGATGTTGAACATCCAAAAAAACCCTTCAATTTGGTTGTGCAACATCCAAAAATGCATAAAATCGTCTTTTTAAAAAAAATTGCGTTATGAAATGTAAAAAACGGACACACATGTAATAACGGAAACTATTCAATACATCCGTAATAACACAAAATATAACGGATATATGTGTAATTTTCCCTAAAATAAAATACATTTGAAAGTTTCATAAGTATTTTGTTCATTTAATTTTCAAAAATATTTTTAATATTACTTTTAGGTTTGTCCCATTGGGAGATGACACATACTAAATTTCATATTCATAAAATTTGTACAAAAAAAATTAAAATTAAGATACAGATGTCAGATTTGGGTCATACCATAGATCGCTCACTTGTGGTATTTTTGAAAAACCACAGATCGCTCACTTGTGATATTTTTTAATAGAGGACTAGGGTAATCTAGTACGGTGCACATATTTTTTTTTTTTTTTCCATCGACTAGAACACTTACAATGGTCTTTCACAATTATTTCAACTGAACAAAAATAAATAAAATAAATAAGGCGACCCTCACTTGCTACCACTAATAATAAAGCTGGAGTAAAACAAGACTGAGAAATAATGGAGTGTATCACCTTCTCTACCCAATTGAAGTGAAGTAAAGTTGGAGTAAAACAAGATTGGAAATACCCAGAGTAAGTAAGTGGAGTAAAGTTGGAGTAAAACAAGGCTGAAAAATAATGGAGTGTACCACCTTCTCTATTCAGTGTAAGGGGAGTGTGCTACCTTAAGTTGGAGTAAAACAAGATTGTGAAATAACCCACGTCTGAGAAATAACCCAATGTAAGTGGAGTGTACTACCTTAAGTTCTTAAATTGGAGTAAAACAAAATTGAGAAATAGCCCAGTGTAAGTGGAGTATAGTACTTTCAGTTGGAGTAAAACAAGACTGAAAGATAATGAAGTGTACCACCTTCTTTACCCACTGTGTACCACTAATGGAGTGTACCACCTTATCTACCCAGTGTGTACCACTAATGGAGTGTACCACTTTCTCTCCAAAAGTGGGGCGTGCCAAAATATTAGGAGAGAAAATAAAAGAGCTTAGAGTGGGGCATGCCCCTAATGAGGAAATAAGAAGAGAGGAGAGAGAAAGGAAAAATGGGAGAAGATGCTCATATTTATAGGGTTTCTAAGAAGGGAAAAGGTTCCATAGAGATAACCGTCAACAAAATTTGATCTATCTTTCATAATAAAAAATAACGGGCTGAAGCTTATTATTCACTTCCTATACTTTTATTCCATCAAATAAGAGATATGCTTAAATATCATATGCATTATATGTAGTTAATAAATTTATATTTCTTTAACGAATTAATATTTCAAAATATATTTTTTATTTTAAATACCTAACTCCCATCTCTTAAGGTATATCTTCAAATTTGAAATAAAAACTTGAGGTGCCACAAATTGGGACGTGACCCATGGCCCCACTAAAAGTGGCCTGCCATAAAGGGTCACATAGTGGGCCCCCATGCAAAAAGAATAGGTCCAATGGGCCCCTATGAGGCCATATTATTTTATAAATATTAAAAAAAGATAATTTTATTTTTTTGTTAATTTATTTTTTAAAAAATATATTTTACAAACAATAAAAAAATCATTTAAAATATTAAAATAATTATTCTAAAATTATCTAAAAAAATAAATTTGATGGGAAAAGGATCCTTAAGTTCTAGAAATTAATAATTCTGAAGTACTCCATCTTCAACTGTGGACCATAATCCACATTTGTTTTTTTAAATTGACCAAGTAGTACCCATGACCCACATTCCAATGTAAAGGCTCATGAAATGGCTACCAAGTCAGCTAATAGGCAAGGATATAATCTCAATCTATGGATTATAGGTTTTCCCGCATAGACGAGTTCTAAAGTCACATAGACCTGATGCAGTCAACTCTATAGTGTATAAGGGTTATCTCTTGTACATGTGCATGCATCACCCTCAATGGTAAACTGTTTTTCTAATACGGCCATCATATGAACATGTCGTGTGATGGATAAGTGATGAGGCTTTTGGTGCTCATCTTTAAAGACCAACTATCACACACAAGGGTCACACAACTCATTCATTTGGGAAACTCTGACCTCATTAAAAGATAACCCATCAACTCTCATCGATATTATTCTATGCCCAGAAATCAAGGGTTTTTTAACTGGACTTGCTTATCACGCAAAACCTAGTTTGAGTTATAATAAATAATATTTGTATAGCATGATCCATATAAGACCACGATCCCACTAAGTGTAAATTCCATAAAGCTATGTCGTATACCACCGACCCCGTGTCCAAAGTCAATATTAAAAGAAAAAAAAGAAAAAGTTAAAAAATGTTTATGTTTGAAAAAGTTAAAAAGAAAATAAAGAAGTTTTTGGACTTCTAGCAAGAGAGCCCCACATCCATAGATCCCCCTCCCGTCCACACAACCCAAACATTACATACGTGGAATGGGATCAATCGCAAATCAAAGACTCTTTTTTTTTTTTGTTTTTTGTTTCTACTGCAAATCAGAGAGTTACAGTTACATCTCTGCAACCCACAATCCAAGACCACCTTTCCCAACTCCACCCAAACTTAGACACACCTTCCAATACTCGCAAATTCCATTCACTTCCTCTCATACCAATATGCACATGGAACAAGTCTTGTGGTCAACAGGAGCATGTGCCCTCTCTCTGCTATTCTGCGCCCTAGCCCTGGCGCTCATGCTTCTCACTGGGAAGCGCCAATCTCACCTTCCTCCTGGCCCAAAGGGCCTCCCCATGGTTGGGAGCCTCCACAGGCTGGGCAGCAGGCCGCATGAGGCCCTTGCGGCACTCGCGGAGACCCACGGCTCCCTCATGACCTTGCAGCTTGGATTCATGACAACAGTTGTTGTGTCGTCGTCTGAGATGGCCAAGGAGGTGTTACAGAAGAACGACCTGGTATTTGGGGGGCGTACAGTCATTGAAGTATTGAAGATGAGGTCTTACCCTGAGGGGTCCCTAGTGTGGGCTCAAACAGGTCCTCGTTGGCGAGCGCTCCGCCGCATCTGCACCACCCAGCTCTTCACTCCCCAGCGGCTGGACAGCCTGCAGGCTCTTCGCTGCCAGAAGGTCCATGAGATGGTCGAGCTCATAAGACAAGCTGAGCCGGCAGTAGACATAGGGCGTGCCGCCTTCGTCACATCCATGAATATAATATCTAACATGATATTTTCGGCTGACATGGTCAACCCCAACTCTGGGTCGGCGCAGGAGTTCAGGGATGTCGTTTGGGCGATCATGGAAGTGGCGGGCGCACCCAACCTTGCCGACTATTTCCCGATGCTCAAGGCCCTGGACCCCCAGGGGCTCAAGGGGCGCTGCAACAAACTCTTTGGAAGATTACACCAGTTTCTTAATGTGAAGATCGACGAACGTCTGCAGTCCAGAGAGAGAGGTGGAGTGGACAGGGGCGACTTCATCGACGCTATTCTCGACTCTAAGCAGGAGAACGGTGTGGATTTTAGCCGTAGTGAGATCTTAGCGCTGCTCACTGTAAGACACTACCCTCGTCTTTGCTATGCTGAAAATGAAAAAGTAAGCCACTCAGAGGCAATATGGTTTGTGGTACCACACAGAGACATCCACCATCCGTTTCTGCTGCAAAATGAAAATATTAACTTTAGTTCTTATTGATGGGTGTTTTATATCTGCGAACAACTAATCGCCATTGTTCATCACGAATGGATGGACGATGCTCCTGTGGTGTACCATACTGAAATCAAAGAAAACATGTCTGTGGTATAGTCTTTTTCATGTGAAGCCACTAACCCCCATCAAATATTTCAAATCGTGGTCCACCGTGTACGATGGAGGGATTTTCGGTGATAAAGTGCCTGACCCAACGGGGATCATTCCATGTCAACTCTGGTTTGGTCCCATATCTCTCCATCACGTATCGTCTATTGGTAAATGGCAAATGGGGTGGGTCAACCATGACCACCAGACCGGTCGATCCGATCCGAGCCTAGGTTTGGGTCCAACTTTTGGACCTGTGGGTGCGGGTCTAGTTTGGGTCTAAAACTCTTGACCCGAGTTGGATCGAGGTTGGGGCTGAGTCCAAGTTTTGGGAGTGGGTTTGATCTGGGTCTAAAACCCTCGACCCGAGTTGGATCTAGGCCGGTTCAGGGTCTAGGTGGACCTGAGCCGAAGAAATCTATACACAAATACACATACAAATATTTATACATACATACACACATACCATACCTTTAATATTTTTAGGAAAAAGTTTATGTAAAGATGCAACCTTATAATGTAGAACTACGGATGCACCTAAAAATCTATCGGAAAAAGGTAGTTTAATGTTGAAAAACCATTTTATCATCTCAACATCGAGATATGTGACCATGAAAAATAAAAAGATTTTAAGTCAAAAAAATAGTGCATTTTACAACATATTATCTACACCGTCCATTTTCAAGATTTTCATATATTTATATATCTATTTGATTTTAACAATTTTTGAAATTTTAAATTTTATAATTATATATAAAAATAGATTTTGAGATCCTAAGAACATTTTACATCAAAATTATATACCATGATAAAATTTGAAGGTGCACCTTACCTATACAGCTACGGATGCATCCGTATGACAACTGCACCCATATTTTTATTAGGTGGGCTTGATGAGAAGAGTGGATGTTTCAAATTTTATGTGATTTAAATTTGTAGAAAAATAATTAAAATTTAAATACAAAATACAGTTGTGTCCGTCAGATCGACCTAGATTAAATCTGGACTATTGGACTTATGCTAATCCATCAGTTCATAGGCTCGTAAGGTCTTTTTCCATATATATATATATATATTGAATATAAAATATTTTTATAAATTTGCTGTATATAAATATTTTTTTGCTAGGATCTGGACTAGGTCCAAAAACTTGGACCTGATGGGTTGGATATGGGCCCAAAACCTTGAACCAGGTCGGTTCCAGGTTCAAGTCAACTCGGACCATAAATGACCAATTGCCACCCCTAATTTTACGCAATTAGCCATGTTTTTATGGTACTCAGGACTTGTTTGTTGCGGGGAGCGATACTAGCTCAACTACTGTGGAGTGGGCAATGGCCGAGCTCCTTCGCAACCCTGACAAGATGGCCATGGCTAATATGGAGCTCTCAAGGATCCTTGGTGGTCCGGAGCACATTATGGAAGAGTTGGATATATCTCGCCTCCCTTACTTACAGTCAGTGGTGAAGGAGACATGGCGGTTCCACCCACCCGTACCGCTTCTCATCCCCCATAGGGCCGATGCGACTGTAAATGTGGCTGGATACATAGTGCCGAAACATACACAAGTATTGATCAACTATTGGGCCATTGGAAGAGACCCTAAAGTGTGGGACAATCCGACAGCCTTCTTGCCGGAGAGATTCTTGGGCTGTAATGTGGATTATAAGGGGAAGGATTTCCAATTTATTCCGTTCGGGGCGGGGCGGAGGATATGCCCTGGCCTTCCTCTTGGGGTGCGCATGGTGCACTTGATCCTTGCTTCTTTATTGCATTATTTTGATTGGGGGCTTCCCGATGGAATGAAAGCCGAGGAGATGGATATGAGGGATAAGTTTGGGGTCACCTTACAAAAGTTAGTTCCACTTCGAGTCATCCCTGTTCAAAGCTCATGATTTGACAAGTGCAAGCCGGATTCTCCTGCCTGATATTTACTACTTGGGGAATTTTATTTTCATAAAAAAAATTTGGATTGTATACTAGGAGTTGAAGTTGGAAAAATTTGTGATGCAGGTCCAAAAAGTGTAAAACATCCATCTTAATAATGGATGCAGGTGTTTCCATCTAAAAACAATGAAAACTAACTGTCTAAATGTTTTTTTATTAAAATATTATTTTTAATTTTTAAAATTTATTTATTTTTTCACATTTATTATCTTCATGTTAGAGTTTACATGTTTTTAAAAATTAAGTCAAAAAATCTATCTCAAAAATAGATTTATCAATAGGCTTGCATTTTTACATATGCAGGCTTCGCCACATAGAAACCGGGTCCGATGAAGTTTCTATAACGTCTAGGATTTATGAAAACTAAATAAAGCCTCACCTAAAATCTTCATCTTGAAACCACTTTTGACCAATGTTTGCAAAATCGAACTAAAACGGTTAACCAGTCATGAGGCTGGGAGCGGTTCGAACGGTTCCCGATGAGAAGCATGAGCGCCAGGGCTAGGACGCAGAGTAGCAGAGAGAGGGCACATGCTCCTGATTGAGCATAAGGCTTGTTCCATGGGCATATTGGTATGAGAGGAAGTGTATAGAATTTGAGAGTGTGAAAGGTGTGTCTAAGAGTTGGTCTTGGGTGGTATCTATCCCATACTATGTATAGATTGCATCGGTTGCGTGAATGGCGTGGAATCTATGGATCGCTTGGTAAGAGTAGACCAGTTTCTTTTTCTTTTATGAGCAATTGATATGCGGAAACTAAAACAAATAGGAAAATACGCAAAGAGCCATTCTTTCTTAAAAATTACACTGGAGGTCGGTTCTCTTTTATTTTTATTTTTTTTGCCCCTTGGTATATGTTACAAAAATTAGACCGGTCTTTTTCTTTTTTGCTTTATGTAATTTTTTCGAACAAAGACATTTTTTTGGTTTTTTTGACCATTGACATTGGACCGTTCTGTGTGACACCGTTACGAGGTCAAGGACCTCAAACTACTTTGTTTTTGGCCATGTTGATACGAGTCTGAGGTCTCAGACCTTAAACTGCTCTATCTGTGGCCTTAGGCCTCATTGATAATGGTCTGAGGTAGACCTCGGACCGTTGTCCTTGGCCTTATGCCACATTCACACCAGTCTGACCTCAAACGACTTTGTTTGTGGCCCAAGGCTACAGTGATGCAACCCTACATTTGAAAGAAAACAATAAAACAAAATAAAATAAAAACCTGTGCAAAGTTGATAGAATCGGATCAAGGGGCAAATCGGAAAAAATAAAGACCATAGGGGATGGACCTTCGACATAGTTTTTGAGAAAAAATAACTCTTAACATATATTGCTATTTTTAAGTGTTTGATTTTGATAAATTTCTATCCTTTCCCACCGTATACTTCTTATATACTTTCTCGCTATGCAATAGTCTGATTTAAATGGATGGTTGAGGTTACTTGTTTTAAAATATCACAAGTCAGCCACTAATCGTATGATCTAAACTTAATGTCTCAGAGTATTTTATTTTTAATTTTTTTTGTACAAATCATATGAAGATGAAATTTAGTATGTATTATCTCTCAATAGGGTGCACCTAAAAGTATTATTATAAAATATTTTTTAAAATTAAATTGACTAAAATTCTTATGAAACTTTCAAGGGTAATATGCTCATTTTATTTTATTGGGAATATTTTTTTAGGTTTGTGTGGGTGCAAGTTCAAGAGAGGAGTGGATGTTCCAAAATTGTTGTCAAAATATAGATGAAAATTAATAATAAAATAGTGTATAGGCATGATATTGTGATTGAAGCTATCTCAACCACCCATCCTAATTAGACGGCTAGGAGATGGGGGATATAAAAAATATATATATGGTGGAAAAGCATACACTAAAGGAAAAAGTTTATATAAGGATGCAACCTTACAATGTAGAAATACAGATGCACCTCAAAAATCCATCGAAAAAAGTAGTTTTAATGTTGAAAAACCCTTTGATCATCTCAATATCGAGAGGTATGACCATGAAAAATAAAAAGATTTTAAGTCTCAGAAATAATGTATTTTACAACATATTATCTACACCGTCCATTGTCAAGATTTTCATATGTTTATAGATCTACTTGATTTTAACTATTGTTTAAATTTAAAATTTTATAATTAATATAAAAATAGATTTTGAGATAATCCTAATAACATTTTATATCAAAATTATATACCATGATAAAATTTGAAGGTACACTTTACCTCTACCGGTACTGTGCGGATGCATTCGAATGCCAATTGCACCCTAGACTAAGTAGCGGTTTGAGAACCTAGAAATCTATTAAATGAAAATAGACTACACAGCAAGGAAATACGCTTTAATAGTAAGGAAATAGATACGCTTTAATACGCTTTAATAGTAAGGAAATAGAAAAAGATTACATGAGATTTCCCCAAAAATCAAAAAATCCATTAAGCGCCGGTGAAGGGTGAAAAATTTATTATGGGTAATCGGGAAAATCTTTGTTTGCCCCTTTTTTCTACCAAAAAAATCTCGTGATTCACTTCCCAGCAATCACACCTCCTAATAAACTAGAAGAAAAAAAAGTTCTTCAACTACGAGCTAAAAGAAAAAAAGTTCTTCAACGATGAACTAAAACGCTGTAACCCCATCTTCTGCAAAACAATGTAACCTCATCTTCTGCAAACAATCACACCGACTTCTCCAGCTAAAATCCGTTAGCCCAATCTTCTTAACTAGCAGCTAAATCTCGATAGGCCATCTTCTGCCACCACAACCAAAACCGCGAGCCTACAGCTAAAATCCGTTAGCCTAATCTTCGTAACTAGCAGCTAAATCTCGATAGCCCATCTTCTACCACCACAACTAAAAACCGCGAGCCCAAATTACGGTAGCCCCATCTTTTGCAACCACAGCTAAAACCGCCAGCCCAATATTCTTCAACTAGAACTTAAAACCCGGTACTCTCATCTTCTGTTATTACAGTTGTATCTATTGTTTATCTTCTGCAACACTGTTGTAGCTATTGTTTATTTTTAGATATCCAAGATTTATTTTTTTGATTTCTGCAACCACAACTATTGTTCCAAAAAATAAACGGATTTGGTTTCTCTACTAAGTAGTTATTTTTTTGGTTTTATTTTTTCTTTGTTGTTGTTATTGTTTGCTGATAAATTCGAAATACGTGAGTTCACTTACAAAGAATCCTCAAATCAGTGTGCTTGAATTGTTTTTTTTTTCCTTTTCAAAACTTGTTAATATTAATTTTCCTCTTCGATCTCCTCCAATGCCCCGACATAATTTCTCCTATAATACATCTCATTTAGTCATAAAGCTTTCAAGCTTACTAGCGAAATTTTTCCCAACTTTTTTTTTCTTTTAAATTTACACATAAAAGTTTTCTGGAGAGAGATGATCGAAAGGTTGTAGCACAAGAAAAAAAACATAAAAAATATGATAGCTTGTCATAATAAAAATATGTTATTTCAAAGTGTTAACATCTTGAAAACATATGATTCCAAGTCAAGACCCAAAGGCATATAAAAGCTGTGGCTAATTCTTAAGCTTAAAGCAATTATAAAGTTTAAGCTACATACTATGGATTGTAGACTCAACCATATTTTGGATATAGAGCCCAAAAAGGCAAAAAAAATGCTAGTAAAGCATTTCTCATATTTCTTGTGCACATAGTCAAATATTATCAATGTATTTCTCAAGTTACATGTAAATACTATCTAAACAATAATAATCCATTTATAAATAATATATTATAAAATACTATATTAATAATATATTATACAATAATATATTAATAATATATTATACAATAATATATTAATAATATATTTAACGAGACAATATATTGCCATGTAACGAAAGGGCCTCTAAATTACTCCGGTTTGTTTTCCTTTGTGGTGGTGGCAGAAGTGGACGTTGACGGGGCATTTATGGCAATCCGTTACTATTGTGGGAGCTTGACGGGCATTTATGGCAATCCGAATCTACAATTAAGAAGTAAGCCTCCACGCCACCGGGTCATTAAAAAAGAGCTTCGATGGGTTCCTCAGAGCAATCGCTGGCTCGGTTATTGTATGTAATGGTTATTGATTATGATGAATTACTACGTTAATATTATAATATCAATTGATTTTATATTATATTATGTGTTATGGCAGGACGTGGTACATTAAGCACTAATAGGAACATTGTATGGGGCTAGTTTTTTTTATGTTTTTTTTACAACATAAAACTTATATACTTCTTTTTATCACACCCTCTATTTTCAATGGAGGGTTAAGATTGCCTTAATTATAATATTACGTCTCTATATTATTTTATTTTTAATTTTTTTTATAAACTATTTTGATACCAAATTTTGGATGTCCAATCCTCTATTAAACTCCCACTAACAAAAAATATAAAAAAATTATTTTTAATAAAATAAAATGATCAAAATACCTTTTAAAGATTCAAAAGGGATTTTGATCAATATATTTTATCAAAAAATTACTTTTAATATTTATAGATACATCCCAATAAAAATAGTGCCGGTACCAAATTTCATATTTATACAACTTGTATAAAAACCAGTGTTTAAAAAAACGTCGAGTCGAACCGGGCTCGACTCGAGAATCACCATGGAGGGATCGAATCGCTTAAAAAAACGGGAATCGCCCGGTTCTAGAGAGAACCAGACGATTCTGCACAGTGACTCGCCAATTCACTGTACGGAATCGGCGAGTCCTGTGAAGAACACGGGTTGCACAGTGTTCTTCATGGGATTCTTCGAAATTTGTTATTTTTTGATTATTTTTCTTGTTTTTTTTGGCATGTGATCTAATTTGCAGGCTTTAAACAGCTTTATTAAGCTTTTACACGGATTAAATGGTTGAAAAATTTGGTGTTTTTGGATCATGAAACTTGCATTTTTAGGGTTTCCGCCTTTTCTTGTGTTTCATG